TCAATGGAATAGACATTCCTTATGACACCTTTTCCTGTTATAGGAAACTGTTGGTAGTAAAAACCAGATATAAGTTTTGTATTATAGCTCATATCGTTTATACTAAACTCAGTCGGACATCCAAACATAATGAAACCTGCTCTAGTTTGCAGCACATGTTACATCCGTCCTTAAAGTATTAAATAAGTCAACAAAACCTGTTGGTGGTATATCTGAGTAAGTATCTTCAAAGGAGTATTTTTTACCATTCACAACAACAAAGTCTTCTGGTGTCAAAAGAGCAAAACAGGCTTTAGTCGTCATCGTGTTTAAGGTCAGTTTACAATATCGTCCTTGAGGACTTTGTAAGTTTGTTGTTATAGAATTATATGACTCAGGGTTTTTTAGTCGTAATAGTATAAACCACTATGTCTTCTGCCATTTACTTAGCAAGTAAATTTTAATGAAATGTTGTGGTCGTCAAATATTTTTATGACGTCTGGGAAACTATATTTTAAGTTCAACGTTTCACCTCCTTTCATAACGTATATCTTGTCAATGACATTATATGAAACACCACAGCAACTAACGTCGGGTTCTATTTCTTTGATGTTTATATCGTCTGCCTCTGTCAAAAGTTTCAATAGTTCTTTCAAAACTTCATGAGGTGCGATGACATATGAGTTCACTTTTACAGGGTTGTGTTCGACCAAGTTTAACATTATACCCAAAGCTTGACAAATCTTCTCCTGAGTTTTAAGTTTGTCTTTAATTTGTTGGTAGTCGTTTCGAATATCTGCAACAGAACTTAAGTCTCTGCTAACTTCAGGATATGTTGGTTGTTCTTTTACAGGAACAATTGTTATACCATCTTCGTCTTCGTATGGTTTCCCCACTTCAACATCTCTTTCTTTGACATTGACAACAAACTTTGACTGTTTGTTTGAGTTGGTGAATTTAACTTCACATCTGCCACCGCCATTAACCTTTTGAAACACTTACGCTTCTATTTTTCGGAAATGACATTTTACTTAGAATAAAAAGATGGACGTATTTGAGTATCTCTTCGAATTGAAGCAGAACAAAGTTTACACACACAAACAATACAAGTTCATTGATAGAATAGTTCTTTATACAAACAATGGAAAATGTTATAGAATAGCAATATTTGCTGAACCAAAATATTTTCATAAAGCAAAGAAAGTTGGTATAACTGAAATGGTGAAAGTTCTTGAAGCAGACAAAAATATAACAACAAAACTGACCGATATTTCTAAGGAAAGTTTTTAATACAATACTATGTCAAAACTGGCGTACTGTCAATATTTGACGGAGAGAAGTCAGTTCAAGAACAACTTACTGACCTGCTGCCAAAATCTGCTCGATGGAAGCTGTCGTTATGCAATCTGAGGAGCCCCAGCAGGTTTCATCGAACGAATCTTCAAAAGAGCATCTTCCGTGAAAAGTGCTATTGGTTTTGTAAACTTCTTTGCTTTCAATTCATTTGGACCGTCTCTGTCACCAGTATATTGTATTTGAACTGTACCAACAGTTGAAATACCACCCATAAAGTCTTCTGAGTCAGCAAATGGAATGCCAAGCCAAAAGTTTGAACGGTCTCCATTTGTATATTGAGTGTTTTGAGCTCCTGTATGGGTCCATACTTTCACATATGGCATAATAGAACTTGCATTTCAGGGTTAATGGTTTTGTGAAGTTGTTGTTAAAGTTCATAGCATCTAATGTCAAGTTGTATGACCTCATATCCTCAACTGTAGAATATTCTTCTCTTGGATAATATTTGCCATCTATGTTTATATGATATTTAATACCAGGGTTGTAGAAGCAAGAATAGTCATTTATAGTTCGTCTGAACAGTACAAACATAGTATCTGCATGTTTCATTGCAGTTGTTAAGGCAATATCTGTTCTTGCACCTGGGTCAGCACTTTGGTTTCCAACTTCACCTGCAAAGTCTTTGACAGATATTTGGTGTATAGGGAACATAAGTGGAACTGCAATATATTTGGCAGCTAAAGCATTTGAAATATCTGGGTCCAACATATAGACTGCAAGTCTGCTTTCTATTCTCTTGCATTCAAACTTTTCGCATGTGAACTTAACTGGGTCCCAAGCATCTCCAGCAGCATTGAAATAATAGTTTACTTCAGTGTTGAGGTTTGAGAAACCAAAGTCTAAGTCAACTTTGTCTTTGCAAAATTCGGCGAATGACGTTTGATTTGCTCCCTTTACGTCTGTAAGAGTGAATGGGTCTTGCGTTGGTGCAATGACTAAGTTATTTTTGCTTGGAGTAAGTTCGATAGAAATTTTTCCTGCCAGTTTGGCAAGTATCTTAAAAACCTGAAGATGAGGAAAGATGACAAAGGAACTCTAAGTTTCAGTTTTACTTTGGTTACTGCTGCTGCAGTTTGTCCAGAAAGGTTAACATAAACTCCTGGAACGTTAGGGTCAAGTCTTCTTATTTTCTCAATAGTTGCATACTGGTCTGTTTGTTCTCAGCTTGTGGTTGTACTGAGTTTCTCAAAGCGAACCATTCATAGTTTGCCCATGTTACTGTTTGAACTAAGTCAGAGTTAGAATATATCTTATATCCCATGAAAACTTCTGGAGCATATTGGTATCCGACATAGAAAATTCCATTGCAACCTTTCTTGTCAGACAACTTGGCAGAAGGTTTTATTTCAATGTCTTGTTCCACGTATAAGAATGAGTTGTCAATAGAAATAATATGAAACCTGTCGCAAGCAATATCTACTGTTGTTGAAGAACCTTCTCCAAACTCACCTACATTTCCATAAGAAACAGCAGTTGTATATTCGTAAGTTCCAGGAACTATTTCTGACCTTCTAATGGCATTGTCGCATTCGTTATACCATTCGGAAACATTTCCATTCATAGCATCCAAAACTGTTGGCGTTATATTCTGAGCGGCGTACATTTCATATGAGTAAAAATATAGAATAGTTGGATTTATATGTCATAATAGAACCCACGTGGACCAAGCTTTACTTTCTTCCTGACTGAGTTTTTAACTCTTCTTTTTCCTTCATTGCCCTCTGCTTGAAGTTGTTGCATCTTTGCATTATGTTCATCTAGTATGTTGCAAATTTCCCATGTCCTTTTTGCCTTTTGGCTCTGGTCGCCCATCTCAGGTAACCTATATCCTAGAAAGAGTTTGTCATAGTCTGTATTTGAGTCTTTGCGTATTGTTTGCATGACTCTTTCCTGAGTTTCTGGTTCAAGCTCTTCAAACAGAGCTTGTCCATATGGAATAAGCTCGTTTCCAAATATATGTTTTTGTAGCCATTCTGGTTTTCTTTCCATGTTACCAACTATATCTTTTGTGAATGGGAAAGCTTTTACCCAATCTTTCAGTCTTGCGTCATTTATTTCTGTAGTTGGTTTTATTTGTCAAGGAACATGTTTTTCAATACTAACATTTCATTTGGTACTGTCCATTTGAGTTTTCTTAAATATTCATCCCTTCTCGATTCATCGTCTGCAAAGTAAGTTTTTATGACATTTTGTAAACTTTCGTTTGCAAGGTCATGTACAATAGGTTCTCTTCCTTCTCTCTCCCTAACTTTCTTTCTAAACTCTTCACCAAATATACCATCTCTATGGTTCTGTGTAGTTCTTTGAGATAAATGTTCTAGAACGTCAGGTGTTATATTTCCATCAGCCATGTTCATTTCATACTGGTTCAAAATATCTGCATGTTTCATATCTTTCAATGGCATTAAAGCCGCGCTTAAAATACCAGCTATATCTCGTTCACCATTCAATTCCATTGCGTCTACAACTTCTTGGAATTGTGGTTGTAAGTTTATGAACCACCTATCCGGGTTAGCTTTATGACCCCATCTCATTGTAGTTCCATCGTCTGCAGAAACAAAAGTAGGTTTGTTTCCATCTTGGTTAGGTTCTGAATGAACTTTAAACAATGTTTCATTTCTATATGTTTTCTTGAAATTTAACCTTTTATTTTCACCGAGTTCATCCGAAGATTGAACGTTAAATGCTCGTAAGTAAAAAGGGTTGTTGTATTTGTGTACATTTTTTTTCAGTTCTTCCATTCTATGCTGGATATTTTCATCTGATGTTGGAGTCTTTTGTATGTCGGCAAACATTTTTCGATATTCTTCTACTATGTCAGCCGAATTTTTTTAGACTCTTGGAAATATTCCATATTCTCCGCATACTCTTGTTGAGGGTCAAGATTTTTCGGCTGTTCCAAATCTTCATCTAGTTCTGTGAAGTTAGTTTCCAAAGGAAGGACTTGTTCGTTTCCTTCAGGCTCTTCTAGCTGTTGTTGCTGAACTATTTCTTCCATGTCTGGTTGTATCTGAACTTCTTCCTGTGGAGTTTCTTGTACCTCATCTGCTGGCATTTCATATATTCCGAGACCGTTTTCAACAATTTCCCTATCTACGTCATCCGCATTCATAAGCTTTTGTTCTTTCGTTCCGTCTCTATTTTTTACGCGTTTCATGACGAAAGTTGAATTGTCATTTAGCTCTGACATCAAATATCTCGGAGTAAATTCATCCATGTCATTTGGATGATATGCTATTAAATCATATCCCTTAGCGAGCTTGTATTTTCCAGGTTTGAGATTATATCCGTTTTGGTGCTGAGCCATAAAGCTAAATAGGTTCGGGTCAGTATTTCCATCCTTGAACTTTCCAATAGCTTCTTTATATCTGTCACTAAAGTCAACAGTATCTGGGAAACCACACTCTTCTTTAAGCATTTTTAAGAATTCTTGGTTTCCTTGTTCTCTACTTCTTTTATGTCCTTGCTCTGTTTGTGGTTGTTGTTGTGCAGGGTTTTGAACTGTTGGTTGTGCTGGATTTTGAACTGTTGGTTGTTGTGCAGGGTTTTGAACTGTTGGTTGCTGTGCTGGTTGTTGTGTTGGTTGTTGTGCTGGTTGTGGAGGTGGTTGTTGTGCTGGTTGTTGTGCATGCCTGTGTCTGTGTCCATGTGACGATGTAAATGTTCTAGGTAGTCCTGGTGCAGGTGCTTCTCTTGGAGGGTTTGGTGGTATATAAATTCCAACAGCTGGTATATAAGTTCCACCAGCTGGCACATATGTTCCATCTGCAGCGTAATGTCCTACCTGACTTTTCGTTCTTAAGAAAGCATTTACTAGGTCTGTTTTGGTCTGTTGTAACTCTTTTTCTTGACTTTTCACAACAGTTGCTCTAACGGCGTCATAGGCACTTTGAACTGCCTGTCTCGTTGCTGCATCTGTTATTTTCGTCATATTTTGTGCTACTTCTTTTAACTCTTTGTCGAAACCTTCAGACTTCAGTTTCTTTCCAGATGAGAAGTCGTTCACTTGTTTCACCTTACTATGAAGAGCTTCGAAGGCGTTCTTAAAGTCAGCATTTGTTAAAGCTTCATTTGAACTGTCTTCATCCGCTTGTATTTTTGTCCTTATTGACCCTATGAGTTGGGCTGCTTTAGCGTTGGCTTGGGCATCTAACCAGTCATTGTTAGCTTTTATATATTCTGCGCTTTTCATTGCCTTTTGCATGGCTGCGTCGTTATTTTTACTTTCTTGTGCTAAGTTTTCATACTGTACGGTTTGGTTTTGCAACTGTAAAAGTTTTTCTGCCTTTACATTTGCTTCAACTTCTTTTTTATACTCATCGCTATCCATATATGTCTTCAGGGCTTTTTGTTTTATCTCTTCATCTTTCAGTACTTTATATTGAGTAGTATGGTTTTTCAAATTTATAACATCTTGTTCCATTTTTGCTACTTCTGCTGCTTTTTCTGACACTTCTTTTGCATATTCCTCTGTACTTAGTTCTTTCAGTTGTTCTTCTTTCTTCTTTTTCTCTACGTTTAACTCATTGAGTTTCTTTGTGTGTCTGTCATATTCTAGTTTCTTTTCGTTTTCACTTATTTGTTTCTGTATGTCTATGTTTGACTTTTTGACATCTGCTATTTGATTTTTGAGTGAACTCAAATTCATTTGACTTTGAGGGTTATAGGCTGTTCCGTCTGCAGCTCCACCATAGCCTGCCATTTTCGCTAAAAGTGCCGCTCTTAAACCTCCACTCTGTGCACCAATGACTCGGTTTAAAAGCATAGGATTGCTTGACATTTGTTGCAACATAGTGGGGTCATTCAGCATTTGTTGTTGCAACTGTTGTTGTGGTGTCAGTTTTACTATTGGATGTTTCAATGCTCTCTTCCTCTTACGTATATTCTTACGTAGCTTACGTGGCATTTTAAGTGAAGTTAAAAATGGTTTTTGACAGATGTTTATTGTGACTTCTTCGTAAAGACTTTGTTAAGACTTCTTCGTAAAGACTTTGTTGAGATTTCTTCGTAAAGACTTTGTTGAGATTTCTTCGTAAATGACCCAAAAATATATTTTAGGTGAAGAGGTGAGATTTCACCTCTTTTTTCACCTCATTTCTCACCTCTTGAATTTTCATGAATTTCTTCGTAAAGACTTTGTTAAGACTTCTTCATCTAATTTCTCATGAACTTTCTTGTCTATGTTTTGTTGAGATTTCTTCGTAAAGACTTTGTTGAGATTTCTTCGTAAATGACCCTAGTAGTATATTTTTGGTGTAAATTTCATGAAAATTCAACGGGTGAAAAATTAGGTGAAAAAACAGGTGAAATCTCACCTCTTCACCTAAAATATATTTTTGGTGTAAATTTCATGAAAATTCAAGAGGGTGAAAAATTAGGTGAAAAAACAGGTGAAATCTCACCTCTTCACCTAAACATTATTTTTGGTGTAAATTTCATGAAAATTCAACGGGTGAAAAAAGAGGTGAAAAAACAGGTGAAATCTCACCTCTTCACCTAAACATTATTTTTGGTTCATTTACACTCGTTACGAAGAAGTCTTGACAAAACATTTACGTTCATGTTTGACAAAACATTTACGAAGAAGTCTTGACAAAACATTTACGAAGAAGTCTTGACAAAACATTTACGAAGAAGAAGTCTTGACAAAACATTTACGAAGAAATCATGACAAAACATTTACGATGAAGTCTTGACAAAACATTTACGAAGAAGTCTTGACAAAACATTTACGAAGAAGTCTTGACAAAACATTTACGAAGAAGTCTTGACAAAACATGAAAACATATATAATTTGTGAAAAGCTCCTGGAAGACCTCCGAATAAAAACTTCATTTATGTGGGCTAGAAGGCACGAAGTGCCTGGAAGGTCACCCAAAAAAAAAAAAAACTTCATTATACTCATTCATCCTCAGGGCTAGAAGGCACGAAGTGCCTGGAAGCCCCACTACCCTTTTTTTTTTTTTTTTTTTTTTTTTAATATTTGAAACAGTCAGCGCGAAAAATTTGATTCTTTTGATCTTCAAAATTTTTGGAATCGAATTTTACAAAATTCGATTCCAAAAATTTTGAAGTGAAAAAAGAATTTTTATTTTTTGATTTTCAAAATATAGGGTGTCCAAAGGTGTGTTTAGCACAAACCTGAATACTGCGAATAGAAATAAACAAGTTACATATATATAAAGTTTATTTAAATATAATCACCATTGGATTCAATCACGCGTTCGCAGCGATCGATCCAGGCTTGAAAGACACGCTTTAAATCATCATGAGAAAATTGCTCAAATTGCTCTCTTACAAAATTTTCAAGATCATCTGGACTCGCGAATTCGCGTCCTTCAGCTCTCTTTTTTAGCGTGCCGAATAAATAAAAGTCAGAGGGTGCAATATCAGGTGAATAAATTGAGTTTGGAACAACTTTGACATTGTTTTCCACCAAGTAATTCATTACCTTATGACTTTTGTGAACTCTTGAATTATCTAAATGAATTGCAAACTTTTGTTTTTGTTGTTTGGATTTCTCAAACTCATCAGAATTGATAATTTGAGTAAGAACATTGTCAATTAGATACTGAGCATTCATCGTATTAGGTTTTTGAAGAATATCAATTGCGATGATGCCATTCACACCCCAAAAAACCGACAACATCATCATTGGTGTGTCAATTTTTTTCTTCGGGAATGTTTGCGGATTTTCATCCTTTGGGATCCACATGATTTTGGCTTCTGTTGCATATTGAAACCAAGACTCGTCTCCTGCTACTAAAAAGCAAAACTTCTTGGATTGATACGCACCCAATATAGAGAGGAGCTCTTTCGAAGATTGGACTCTAGATTTTTTTTGAACTGAATTAAGGTTGTGCGGAACCCAACGTGTATATGCTAGTTTGTAGTTCAAATAATTGTGCAGATAATAACTGACTGTTGTACGTGGTATCTTTGTCATCTCCTCTATCCTTCTGAGTGATGCTCTTGGGTCTTCATCTAGCGCTTGAAGAATTGCTTTGATTTTTCTTTGATCCGGCGATTTTTTGTCAATTTTTATGATGGGCGCATTTTTATTCATGAAGTGATACATCCTAACATGATACGTTACAGTGGAATAGCTAGGAGCATCCATACCGAAGCATTTTACCAATGTCTCGTAGATTTTTTACAGTCTTTGCATTTTTTTGCAAGAGCGAGGATGTTTTCTTTATGATTCATTACAAAAATGAAAAAAATCCCGCCAAAATTTCCCGCGAAACCGCCTCTTGTCTCAAAATTCATTTTATATCCCGGCATGGCGCCAAAATACAACATACTCATCATATACATATATTCATATTTTTTATTATATATTTATAATCAGCATATATCTCCTTTAATAGTCTCATATAGCGCGCTGTGCTAAACGCACCTTTGGACACCCTATATTTTTGGAGATATTAAGGGAGGCTTACGACCAATTGTCACTTTTTGGGCCTTGAAGAAAAAATGCAACTTCGCAAGGTCCCAAGGTCCCGAAAACCAAAAAAATTGATGAAAGCTAAAAATGTTCAGTACAGTATAAAGGTTCATATCCTACCGCTCAAACTTCCTAATTCTTTCAAAAATTTATAATTCTAATCTCAAATTAACTCAATACTATAATTTCAAAACTAAAACTCATACAGAAAGTATTCTAATGAATAAGCGATGTTGAATCATAAGACATACATGACTGATTAAGTTAATTTTATTATGATGAATATGATGAGAAAATTTTATTGAAATCTGTATTAAACTAAATACCATTAGTATGCTATAATATGTGTCGTGTTTTCATTTGATTTTGAGAATATAACGCTTTTGATTATCTTGAATAAGCGAATCTTAACGTTTGTTTAAGGAGACTTTATAATTTTTAACCTATGTGCGTGGCGACTGTACAATAGAATATGTTGTTAAAAGTTGTAGAAATGTGTTTCTTTTACATTAAAATTATGAAAAAGAAAAATGTTTCAATTTGAGAAATATAGCTCTACATAATAACACGTTTGGAAATATCTTCACTTTTCATCCAAATTCCTAACTTGAAAATTTCTCTCAAAAAATTGATACAGCTTTGAAAAAGTAAATTAGTACGATGTATTGTCCATTAATTTACAATTAGATTTTTATAAAAAATTTGCTGTGAAAAGTGTGACGATTTGACATAGAATTTTTAAACTATGTTTTTTAGTATCTCCATATATTGGTAAATCTATTTTTTCAATTAAAATTCAAAAAGGACACCATTCGGAATCGTCCAAAAATGAAATCTTGGAGGTTTGCCAAAATTGAATCCGCCAGTATTTATCGACCAAAATTATAATAAAAATAATTTTCGCAAAGTATTCTATCCAAATCATTCTTCAAAAAAATTTTTTTTGGTTCTTTTGTATAAAAAACGTTATCGAAAATGCCTAGAAAATTTAAAATTTTTTCGAAAAAAATCCTTTTTCATTAATAATTTATAGATCCGTATTTTTCCCAAGTGAGCGGGGTATCTCCAATCCCAGCCCTATCGTCCTCCCAGTGTCAGTTTTCAATATAAAATCCAAATTTTTTTTGAAAATAAAAATTTCGAGAAATTTTTCTGATTTTTTTCTTTGATTTCAATAATTCAAAAATAAATTTGGGAGTAAAAAGACACTATTTAATGAAATTCATATGAGTGAATGTGGATAAATACTCTCAAAACATACAATTTATCTATTTTTTCTTTATATTATCAACTAATTAGTGATAATTTTTTTGAATCAGATTTTTTTTCATTAAAAACATAATATATAACACAACAATGATGCACACATACGTATCTACACATCAAAATATAAAGCTTGTTTTGGTCTGGGCATCCCAACCCAAAATTCTTTAAAAATTGAATAAAATTGAATACTTGGGGCTGGGATGCCCATCCCAAAACCGAATTGAATTTTTTGAATTAAAGAATATATTTATGTATTTATAATATACATGTGATGTCTATAAAAAATACTAAATTCTAAAAAAAATTCAATTTATTCAAAACGTATACTAAGTGATCACTTCATGAGTAGGATCAGCAATCCTACTAAATGGTGACAACGCCACTAACTAAAAAGGGAGTCCTTGGAGCTCTTGATCTCTTGTCAGTAGAGTCATAATGAGGCATGGCATCTACTGATTAGAGATCAGAGCAATCCTACCTTACCTTCAGGAGCTACAAAGCTCCTAATCGTTACGAGAGGGAGCCTTGGAGCTCCTGAAGCTCATCAGCAGAGGCTATTTACCATTTGGGCCTCTTCTGATGAAAGATGCGAAACACGTCTACGAACCAGGAGCTTCAAAGCTTCTAATCCTTACTAAAGGGAGCTTTGGAGCTCCTGAGTCTCCATCAACAGAGTCCCAGATGGTAAATGTCCTTTGCTGATGAAAGATGCGAAAACACATCTACGAACCAGGAGCTCCAAGCTCCTAATCCTTACGAAAGGGAGCTTTGGAGCTCCTGAAACTCCTTTTACTATAAAATATGACAGTTTTCTTCTGAGGTTCTCATCAAATCTAAGACTTCAGAAGAAAGCTGTCCTATCAATGTATACTTACACTCTCATGGACTACAAGTGTACAATTTTAAAGCAGAGATTATCCGAGGCCTCTCATCAAATGAGGGACCTCGGATAATCTCTACCTTAAGTAGTCAAATAACTTTTCTCACTATTTAGGAACAAAAGAACAAGAGTTGGAGTACTTTAAGGCAAGATTCTTCCGAAATCTCTCATCGAATGAGAGACTTCGGAAGGACCTTGCCAAATCCTTGAACGCCAATATCCTTGGAACTGGCTAGAACCAGGGAGAAGTAGCATACTATAGAGCACGATGGTAATCTCGGAAATACTTATATCGCCCCAAGCACAATATTTAAGAAGTCTAACTCATATATACAAGAAGTCAGGCTGAATAGATATTGTGCATATGGTTTGCAGAACTCTCATGATATTTAAAATTCATGTTATCCCAAAAAAGGTGACACTTTGGGTGTATCGTCCATCCCAGGGATGCAAAAATCACATCACCTTGGATCTATAATTCATTAATGTGCTAGCTTTTTGAAAAATAATCATATCGGTAGATAGGGGATAATATAGAGGTGCTTTATGAATAACGAAAATTCGGGAAAACTGAATATTCAACGAGAAAAACGCTTAACGAATCTCACTTTTCTTGTAAACTTCACAAAAAATTGAGAACCTTATCTGGTCGTAAGCCTCCCTTAAATTCGTTTCCTGTATAATTTTCTGTTGCAATATACATCTACTATTCATGGCGGTGCATACTATGCTAATTTCGTGCGAATCTCATGTATTTTTTTATTACCAATTCTGGTGTTCTTTCCCCATTTTTTCCTCTCAATTTATTTACAAAATCTCTCAATTTTGTAAAAAAAGTTCTCAATTTTCCCCATGCCACACATGTTTTCTGGGAATAAGAAGAGGTTCCCCATTATATATGGGTTAGCAAAAATTTCTCCTAGGATGACTCAGCGTGCTTTAACAATACGATTTTCCTAAGATAAAAGTTTCTTCCACAAAATTAGATTATCCTTTGATAAAAGAAGGCATTAATTCAAATATATCATTGAAAGATCAACTATATTCACTTCATATTAGCCAAAACCATAATCTCAGTGGTTTACCTCAAGGTTTTTTATCCCAGATTCTATAAATCTCAATTGTATGGCATAGTGTAAGGATATATCGATATATTACAAATATTAAGCCCCGCCTATTAATATCATCAATATCTCTTGACTTAATTTCGATTTTTACATTTTTTTTTATTGATCAAGCCTAACATTGCAGAGATTAAATTTAATAGGTTTAACATTTTAAAAAGCTGTTAAATTATCAATTATGAGCGAAGTTTAATAATGTATATCATATTGAGTAGGTTTTTGGTATGTATAAATTCGGATCTAGAATATATGAGATGAGAAATGTAATATTACTCTTTAGAAACTCTTTTGCTTCATACTTATTTTGAAAATTGAATAATTTGATCGAAAACATTGAAATAGAAACAAAATATTTTTATCTAATGATTTTTAAATCACTAATACTACTATTTTATATGTATTTTTAACATCTTTCTAATATTTAATTAAAAACTTGGAGAAAAGAGAATAAATAAAGGGAAAATAAGAAGAAAAGGAGAAAAGAAAGAGAAAGAAGAGAAGGAGGAAAAAATTAGGAAAAATAATAAGGGCATATTTCATATTAACTGCAAATAATTTGGTTTTGTTATTGGCCAGAGGCGGCGACGCGCCCGAAGGGCTAGCGCTGCCGCCGGAGGCCCGAATATTTTTGAAAAAAAAATTTAATACCATTTGAGTTTCCCAGATTTTAATGGATTTAACCAGAAACGGCCACCTTAATATTTTTTGGATTTCTTATTAAATCATCCATAATAATTTTATGAAATTAAATTAACGTCAAAGTGTGCAATATAGTATATGGTTACCTGATATTTCTATACTGACATCAATAACTCTGATTTTGTTTTTATTCTATTGTTCTAAATTAAAAATCTTTTCAAAAAAAGAATGAAATTAACATAGATTAGAAAACATATTTAATACAAACAAACATAACGTATGAGATTAATGTAAAGCAAATGAGTGTGAATATGTGTTTCTTCCACGGTGATGTGATGAAGAAGACATTCCATGGCGAACTCTGTTATTTGTAAACCAAACATTGATCTGATCGCGGTTTAAGCCTGTTTTCTCGATCAATTCTTGCTTTTCGGATGATGTTGGATAAGGATTACTTTGGTGATTCTTCAACCAGTGCATTAGAATTGAGCGTTGGGAATCAGAGAAGAGTGTACGCTTTCCTTCCTTCCTCTTCTTAATGGATATGTCGATGTTGATCTCAGGCTGTGGGAGTGTGACCTCATTTGGTAAGAATCCCATCATTGACTTGTCAATAGTGACACCACGGCTCATCATGAGTGTATAGATGTCAGGAAATACAATATGATGATCAGATTCACTGTAGTCACTAGAGGAATCGCTGGATGACATGCTTGGAGAATACATCAAATAAATGAATGTTCATAAGATTGAAGAGGTATTGAATTTCTTGATGGGTTGTTCAAAATTGTTGGCATATTATCTGATGTTTAATGGATCTAGCAATAAAATAAATTGAGAACCGTAAAAATCATTGAAGTGATGGGGATAGTGAATTAATTGATAAGGATTGTCACATTTTGATTGCTGTAAAATCCGAAAATGATATATACCCTCATTGATGAATATTTATTTAAAAATTCATAGTTTTTGAGATTCAATGAATTATCAGATTAAATTGAAAAGAAGATTTTGTGTATAAAATATTATTTGCTTATCTATTAATGCTAGTTATATTTTTAGTAGATTTTTGATTTTCAAAAAGTTCAATAAGATTGTTCAAATTTCGTTCATCATCATATATTATCATACTAACTAACTACAACGACATTATATAAATTGGATGATTCGATGAATGGTCATTCATCTTTCTCAATTTTTCAATCAATATTGATGGTTTCTCCGGGTATCCATATAAACAATTTTGTATTGATAAAATTATTTGTTGTATTCATGATCATCTGAATGCTGGAGGGAATTTCGTCCTAATTGTTTTAATTTTGCTTATATTTCGATCAGTTTTCAATGATTCGAAAAATGAAAATGTAATTTGGAAATTCTATTCCGTCGTAATGATATTTTTTCTGAAATTCTTTATAAAAACATTTATAAAATTCTGGAACTTTCAACTTTAATAAATTTCATAATTCATAAAGTTCAAAATACACATGTAATTAGATAAATCAATATTGGTTTCTTTTTGGTAAAGAGCTTGCGCTTCCTAACTCTATTTAACAGATATTTTGATTTGAAGCTTATCGAATATGCAATATTCTCTCTTTGTATCCTCAAAATTTAAATCAATTAGTCCATGGATAAAATATGTTGAGTTTTACTTTGAATTGGGAATACTTTATTCTGATACTTTTCTCGAGAAATGTTTATCAACAAAAATTCTTCTTGCTTGTTATTTGCAAATGAAAAAACATAATATGTTGTTATTGGTTTTATCCATCAGCCTATCATGTGCTAGATCAAGTTTATGAAAAAGAGCATCCGAAAAAATATATGAACGAAACATTTCCAAGAATTCATAAATCCATATGTAAATGATAATTTTATCATCAGAAATCCTTGAAAGTATTAATGTTGATGCTGTTACTGTTAGGGATTACTATTCAAATATAGATACATAATATTTTTGATGCTTTCACTATACTTTTGTGATGTACAAATCTATGAAAAGTATCTGAGAAGAAGAGCTTTCCGATATATTCAGGTACTTACAGTTATGCAATGACTAGCAATATTCCTAGGATATATAAAAACATCAGAGTTGTCAATACAAAGAGAAAAGATCTTAAATTTACTAATATGCAAGAAAGTATAAAAAGTTTAGGGCAAAATATATTCTACTGCAATACTAAATTCCTGTCGTTATCTTTGAAGGGCCAAATCGATTTCATCAAAACTGACAGAGTACAAATTAAATTTGTCACTTTTTTGAAAAATGGGTAAAAAAGAGCCTATTCCTGATATAGACCCTAGTACAATTTCAACAGTTGATTTAGTAATATATGATACTAAAGTAGATGATAAAGCATTTTATTTTGTTCTTGCCACTCAAGAAAACGGAGCAAAAGTAAATGTTTGGATTAATCAGCAAATAATGTCATTATATCCTGAAGTACTCGACAAATATCTGAATCAAAACCCTTGCATGCCAAAAGATCAAGAAACAGAAACGCCTAATTTTATTCCTTGGGTAAATAGCGAAATTCTCTCAGATTCCTGTAAAAGAACTTACACGTTAAATTTTAGATCCTCTTGCGCAAATTCAAACAACTCTCTGTCAGCAGGAGCTCTAATAACAAAAATTAAATCATTTAATAAAGCAAAGCGTCAATTTTCAGTTGAATTTGCAGACTGTGATGATACAAGTAAAGAAATGACTGTTCCTGATAGCTTTCTTATTGAATTTAATCCTCAATTAGTTATTGACTTCTTTTTGAGTCATCCCGAATATATATCAGGCGGGATTTCATCGTAGTGTGTAACACTTGTTATCGTAAAACAAATGATTGACGATCTATTGTCATTTACCGAACGACCAAACAAATTCTATCGTCGCCCGTAGAAATTTTTCGGTGGAAATTTTTGATTTTTAAAAGAAATGATAATATTATAGGCTGCTGTATTAACAGATAATTTCTGAGTTTGGATCCTAAATAATTTTGATCAAGTCGCCAGAAAAAGTCGAAATTGCAAAAAGACGATAACGATAATTTGCAAAAACCATTCAATTTTCTGAACAATACAAAAATTTGGATCGTTGGACTTTTGTATTTTACGGTTATTTTTATGTTTATTTCAATTTCTTTTATGGAAATAAATAATAATTGAGTGTTTATTTTTTGTTTTCTTTTTACAAGATGCCTCAATTTATAAAATCCAACAAATTTCATTGCTTTATTATTACTCATTCATTATACTGAGCTCTATAGCCATATACATATATATATTCAAAATAAATAAATAACATTTTAATTAAAAATCATTCAACATAAATATCCTATGTATCTTTTAGAATTATTACCGAAATGTCCTAAGCCTAAGTTTTCACATTTTTTGAATATTAAAGCAGAATTTTCATTCAAAATTAGAAATGCGTTGACCAAAATCATGTGCAAGCTTTATGGTTGAAGTTTGTATTCGGTATGAAAGTATTTGACATATAAAATTGGAGATTGAATTCAAATTGTTCAATTTTGTCTGAACTTTGCCGGAAAATATTCATAGTATCTGTAGATGATTAGTAATTTAGTTCTCTTATATATTGCAAAAGAACTGTTACAAAATCATGGCAAACAATCAAAAATTAAAATCATTGAAGTATTTGTTTCGAATTATCATGTTTATTCAAAAATTTACTGATTATACAAGGGACATATCTGGCAAAAGCAATATTTTATCAAAATTTAAAATAATTTATTTTTTTATTAAGTAATATTCGAGAGTACGATTAAAAATGATTGGTGAATCATCCATATTAGCGAAATTGAAATTTTGAATATTTCATTAAATAAATTTCTCAAAAATATTGTAAAACATTGAGCCAAATTTATCCATTGCAAATACTGTGTCATAGGCATAATGTTTGCTGCTTATTTTCTTTATGAGTTATATGTCCAGTTGTTCAAAAGCCATGATCATTTTTATAGTATTGAAAATCATAAACTCTTCTCAAATTTAGGCAATAAAAATAATATTTATGGATAAATTTTGGATATGGAATCAATAGCTATTATGGGTTCAGAAATGCTTTCAAACTATTACTTGATTTGAAGTAATAATTCCTATAATCCAATTTTTCTATTCAATTTTTATGAAAGATATTGAAAAATGACGATAATTAATTCAAAAATTCATTTCTTTATAAGTCCACCCATGAAGAGTGTTTATATTGAAAAGAACTCTAAATCTTGCAAAACTCCATTTACACCACAAGAAGATGATAAACTATCAAAGCTTGTTAAGTTTTTTGTGAAAAAAAGTGCAATAAATTGGCAATATATTTCCCAACAAATGGAAACCAGAAGTGCTAGGCAGTGCAAAGATCGATGGACAAATTACCTTGATCAGAGAATAAATCACGCAGAATTTACCCCAGACGAAAATCATTTTATTCTCAAAAAAGTTAATGAAATTGGTAAAAAATGGAGAAAGATCGCAGCACAAATGAAGAATAGAACTGATGTGTCTGTTAAATCCCAGTATAGAAAGTTAATGAGGAGAAACGCAAATGTTGATAATGTTTATACATTGTGCATGGATAATTATTGCACTAGAAGAAGAAAGAAATCTCAATCTTCTGATGAAATCACTCCTCAAAATATTTTAACTCCAGAGCAATTTGATGATTTATTCAATAGTTTTGAATTGACTACAGACTCAAGTTTTACTCTTCAGTGGATTTGATTGTCGTGTTAATAAAAATTTATTTATGCTTTAATGTGTAGCTTTTGACAACGATTTCATATAGAAAGCCTTAATCAAAAGATATAATGTATTGAATTAAAAAAAATCTTGTCAATTATATTTGTGAGCTTTAAAAGTTGTGCATCTGTTATTTTTCTCTCTTATGACTGTCTTAAGGGATAGTGTTTTCATCAGCATCTTTGTGACTGTATTTTTCATATATGAAAGAAGAAACCGAGATTGATTTATAAACATTTCTTAATGTATCATGAAGTGCAGTTTCTCCAATTTTGGTTTCTAATTATACGTATTTCATAGATAAACTGGAGTTTGAATATTGCTTTTATCAAAGTCTTACTATGAAGAACAACCTTTTATTAATATATTTTGTATTGATATCTTTTGATAAAGATTTAAATTTAAAGTAACCTTTGTTTTTCTATAACCAAGAGTCATGATTAGGGTAAAAAAATTTTTAAACTACTTAATCAAATTCAATCAGTGCTTTTAGAGACAATTCATCAAAGCAAGAAATTTTGCGTTACGAATACTATCTCTCGTGAAGAAGAAAATATCAAAATTAACATCTCAATGAAAATTTGCTTTTTATTAGGATATGTATAGAAATTGCACTGTTTTCATTATAAATGTTATTAAAATAATCAAATGAATTTAATTTTTGCGATTTCATTAATTTTAAGGACATCAATTTATCAGAAAGAATACCTTTGCCTAATTCATGGACTACGAAATTTATAAACAAAAAATTACTAAATTTATTTAATAACAATTGAACAACAATTTTTTTTTCTCTCTCTCTGGAAATCACCGTTTACTTATAATAGAGTTGATGACACGAATGTATTCAACACTGGGCGATGGATTAAAAAAGGCTCTGATTTATTGTTTGTCAATTAAAAAAAATGGTAAGAGGTTGTAAATAAATACATATCATTTGATAAGTTGTATAAAAAATTTACAAAATGTGGCGGCTATATTCAACTTGGAAATTTGTTGACTGCATTTGTATGTAATTCTAAAACATTAATTGCGATCAAATTTACAATGCTTATTTTTCAATGGATCTCAAAAATTGAATTTCGTTTTTAACGGGTTTGTTTTGTATTGAATAAAATTTTATACAATAGAAAAAAATTAAAATTTCGTTTTGTTACATCATGATAGTCCTAAATTAAAAAGTGTAAAAATATTTTGTAAATCACATACAATAAATTGAGAATCGTAATCAAAGATTTTGACAGCATTCAGATTTTTCTGATATTCTATTGAGTTCTTATTTTACATGTTGATCCAATAAATTGTATATGGAAAGTAGGACATTAAATAATCCAATTTTTTAAATTTTGGATTTTTGACACCAATCAATCTAAAACAATGCTAAATACCATACGACCTTTATTGCTTGACAAAGGTTACGAATTGTTAGACTACATTAACAAAGGTGGCTTCGGGAGCTGCTACCTTGTTCGCAGCACTAAATACCAAATGAATTTTGTCTGCAAAATTTCTCAAAATCCAGAATATGAATCAAAGTATTTGAATTCATTCAGCCGAGAAGTTAATGCCCTTACACATTTAAACCATCCAAATGTTGTCCGAGTTTATGACGTTTTTACCATTGAGAATTACTTAGCAATAATCCTTGAATATTGCTCAGGTGGTACTCTCCATTCTAGATTAGATGAATTCACACGTATTCCAATAGATAAAACCATTAATTATACCCGACAAATTTTGGATGCCTTATGCTACATGCACTCCAAAGGAATTACACATAGTGACATCAAGCCAGCAAATATCCTAATTGATGAATTCGATCGAGTGAAGATATGTAACTTCGGATTATCCCAATTTGGAAAACAAAATGAAAAAAATTCAGTCAATTTTTGTGGATCAACACATTATATGGCTCCTGAGATATTGATGAATAATAAATATGATCCATTCAAAGCAGATGTTTGGTCTTTAGGAGTTACACTTTATTATCTTTTCTCCGGTAAGCTTCCATTCCTTTGCTCAAAGAATTCATACCTTGTTGAAGCTATGAGAATCGGACATGAAAAAATATCATTCGTCCCAAAAAATGTTAATACATTAATTGATCTTTGTTTAAGATTTGACGCACAGACTCGTCCAAATATATTTCAAATCAAGAAATGCTTTGATGAAAACTTTGTCAATCCCCTTCCTTTGATGAAAATTAAAATGGATTCAACATTACTTAGAAGATCAGCCCAACAATCAATCATTAAGATGTCAAAGAGAGTCAAACGTCCAATTGAGAACACAATTGCTTAGATTCGTGTCTGATGATTTTTTTTTAATGTCACCGTTTTTGTGATTATATGCCAAGTTTACACATATGCATTGAATTTTCATATCCTAAACTGGCATGGCAAAGTCATGGGGTTGAGGTGTATTCTATTTTTATTGCAAAGAAATTAATTTCGAAAGGCTTCGCCTATTGAATACCATGGAAAAGTCTATTGTTATTATTTTTGTTGTATGAAATAAATATCTCCATAGTAATGAAAGCTCTATAAATCAATTAAGTGATCACTTAATCCGAAATTATATTTGGGATATTATTGTTCAAAATAATTGCATTATTACTCACGCAGTGTATGTATTTAGACTTCAATTACACGACACACGAACTGCTTTTTACGATAATTTTTAAAATTGAGATCGACATTCAAAATCGAATAGTTATTACATACTGCTGCATTATATCAATTTATTTAACCCCTAGATCTATAAAGCTCAAATGAAATAAAATTGCAATTGAGTCATGTCTCACTTAATGAAAGGATATAAAGAGAATACAGTAAGGATTGAAAATCTAAGTGGAAAAATTCGGAAAATGTGATCTCACCATATTCCAATATCGAAATAATTCTGAAATTAAAAATCATTTATGTTTTTTTCTTGAATTTTGTGCAGATAACTCAGATTATGCATTTTTAATTTATAAATACATTCCTTCTGTTAATTCTGTAAATTATATTCACCACAAAACAGATACAAGCAATCACATGCTATTATGATAATTTTATTGTATTTATACATTATAATATTCATTATGCTATGTTTAAAAAAATAATTTTAATCGATGTAAAATCAAATTCTTATTAAACCATATTCATATATTGAACTTGGTCTTCAGAATCTTTTTCTACTTTCAATTGATGTTTCTTGATGATTAAAAATGCACCAATGCATATAGCAGCAATAATGATGATGCCAATAATTATTCCTGCAATCGCTCCAGCACCTAGTTTTCCAGATTTGGACTTCTGATCGCTTCCTTGGTCATTGGTAGGCGTGATTACTTCTTCGGGTGCAGTTGTTTGTGCTGGTATAATGGTAATTGCAGGTGTCCGTTCAGGTGTTGGATTTGGAGTTTGTGGTGGCCAGATTGCATTCAAAAAATCATATGTTAAATTTCCAAACCTCTTGGCTTTGTCGGGCTCATCAAAAATAATTCTGCTTAACGTGATATCGCTTATAATTGGGTCAAATATGAGAAGATTAATACTCTTCAAAGTGAGTGTTTGACCTGGTTCAACAATAAACTTTTGGACTTTTCGATCATTAGTCCAAGCAGTAACATTAAAAGAAACCTGATCTAAACATGTGATATTTGTTGAGAATGAATAATATGAATATACTTCTTGAGGAAAATGCATTCTTCGAATTCTGTATCCTATTGGTTTGTCGGATAATGTATCGATGCCGAAATTGAAAGATTTTCTATAATATGTAAATGTATTTTCATATAATCCTTCCATAACGATTGTAACATTTTGGGTTCCATTGTAGGATCTGATGTTATAGTGATAATCAATATTTTTAATATCTACTTCGCTTTCACTATAAAAATGGCATAATACGGATAAATATTAACTGATGATTCATTAACGGTGATTGTCCTGACTTCACCATCTCTAATAATTAAATCTGGGTTGTCAAATTCTGATTTTAATTTGTTTAATGTAAACCTTCCAATTTGCGCTCCAATTGGTAATTGAGTTAAGTTATTAAATGCTAAAATGCTTTCTGCCCAATCAATCTTAAAATAATTTCCTTTAAGACAAGTGTACATTGATCCTAAATTACCAAAAAGATAGATTTCTGATTCCACGGATGACATGATAATTAACATTCCTCTTGACCGAATTTGAAATTTAACTGCAATATCAAAAATATTGTATACTACATCAACAATTGAGCGTTCGCCATATCTTGCCGATTCATAATGGATATCAAGTGTGGGGAATCCAGATATAGGTTTAATTTTGTATATTATGGTTTCTCCAAGCTTTGAAGAATATACTGGGTTAACAGGGGAACCATCTTCAAACATGAACTCGTGTGCATTTGTGAAGATTAAAAGAGAATAATATTCTTTAAGAGATGACTGCACGATAGTTTTTAATTCATTTTCTTTGAATAAAATTGTTGCTTGTTTTGCCTCTTCTTTGAAGAATATTACAAACTCCTCCATATCGCTTTTTTGCTTTTCTTCAATTAGTGGTTCTGATTTCAAATGATAAATTCCATGATTTAAATTTGGCAACTCTTCTTCAACCAGTGATAAAAAATCATAAGCACCAAATGTGAATGTGTTCATAGAATGAAATTCATAGAGAACACTAAATATACCTCTAAACTCAAATCCATTTTCAATGTAATAATACTTCATAGGAAAATAAATACCCTATTCTTTATCTATTTTTGCTGTATAGTTAAAATATTCTTTCAAATTCATCGGATTCCATGATGCAAAAATAACTTTTTCTGAACTGTTGGATGTTTCACCCATATAAACTTTGCCATTTTCTGGATTCAAAACTATATCAAAGTGATCGCAACTAGGCCAATTTACAAAAATTACCTGTATTTTTAAACTTTTTGTTCCTGATTTTGATTTTATTGTTAAACGTTCTCGATTAGAAAGCTTTTTAATTACAGGAAATTCCTCCCATTGATCATTACCTATATTATACAGTATATCTTTGCACTCGTGAGAAATGATGTAACTATAGTAACCAAAAAGTGGAATATTTAAAACTGTTGATGTTTCGTCAACTAAATATTCATACATTCCAAATTGAGCTGTTAATTCAGTTCCAAATGAATAACTTTCATTATATCCCAATGAATTAGTTTTGTCAATGATAAATCCTTGAGTTTCAATGCTTTTATTCACTTTTTCAGCTTTGAAGTAAAATTTGCCTCTCCATGGAGTTATAATTAGAAACTTTCGATTATGACAATCAATATTTCCATCTAGAAAAGTTTCAGATCCAAATGGACTGATATAATAATTAGTTTGTGGTAATTTTTCAAATTTGTAATTATATTCTGTTGTGCTTATAAATAGTATGATTTTGTACCAGTCTGAATCCACGAAGTTGAATGTTCCATTACCCCCATTAAAAACTACTATATAATCTATGGTACAACATGCATTCATGGGGAAAATGCAAAACTTTAACAAAGCTGGACCGTTTTTTGGGGAAACAGTGTGATGGTATAGAGTGTGGAAGTAAATATATGAATATTCAAGATATTGGAATTCTTCGTGATTAAAGAAAAGCAAATGAATATAAGTGTCGGTGTAGTTTGAATATTGGTCCAGAATAATATCTGTTGCTTCGGTAATCATTATTTCATGATATCCGAATGAAATCTCTATTGATTTTCTTGATAACGAGAAGGCAATCAAGAAGCAGAACATATTTTTTTTTCTAATTATCGTAATATCCGAAAAAAAATTACACTTAAATTATGTTGTTTATGAAGATACTTTATTTTTTCGGTAAATAAGTTTTTTAAAAAAACGCCGTTGTCCACTTTTTCATATAATACTTTTTTTTATCCGCCAAAAATTGTGAAAGAACAATCAAAACTAATGACAAGAAATTATGTTTAATTATCAGTAAGGAATATATGGGGCCACTTTATTGTTTATATTTTAACTCAATTTTGATTTGAATGAAAATGCAATAATATTCCAATGAAAAGATTATATTGAATTATAAATTAATTGTTTTTACTAACTGACCACCAGAATCAATAAATATCATGTTCATTTTCTCTTTGAGCAATTTAAATCTGAATATTACTTAAATACCGGTTTTTTGAAGTCATTTATTATGTTGTTGGAATACCCCTCAGCGATATGGCATAAATTAACTACTTGTTGTCTAATTTTACTCAAGATTTAAATTTGCAAATATTCATGTTTGAATTTTTGGAGATATAAATGTAAAAATTTACAGTATAACTAAATGGTAATAAATTTATGTTATTAGGATAAAAATGAGAAAAAAAATGTAACCAACAGCTCTTTCAAGCTTATTTACTCTGGCATAACATGGATAAAGATGAAAAAAATATGTATTTAATAGATAATTAACCTTTTTGAAGCATCATTACTTAATTCGGTGTTAATCTCTGTATAAGTGATGCAGGGAGATGGATAAATGCACAATGTATTATTTATTATGATAATATAGTGGGAAATAAAAAAAATCATTAAAATTATTAAAAATTATACAAACATTTTATAAATATTTTCGTATTTCGGATTCCATTAAGTCCATTGCCTGTTTTGATATCATCCCAAAAGGTTGCCCAGCACCATTGTACACGTAACGGTTGGAAGGGAAGTAATTTGAATCCTGGAAAATGAGATATAAAAATTTTAAAGTTTCACCGACCAAAAATGAGTTTGTTGTATCATAAAAGTCATCAGAATCATTCTTCTTACTCATTATATCCAAAAATCCCTTTCCTGTTCTAAATCTCAAAACAATATTTGCGAAAAACGACCAAGCGCACTCTCTAATTGAGTCATCGCCAGTCAATTTCCATAACAGATACAATGGCTCTGCAATATCATAAGGAAAAGGGTTATCTGACAAAATATATTTTCCAGATTTCCTCAAATTGTCTGCTTTTTGTCTCGCGGCCTCGCTACGTCTCATTTCTTCTTCGTACTCCACGCCGTTGAAGAGCTCGTCCCTAAATATCCGGTCGTACTTGTGAGGTTCGACCATAGGATGATATCTATGGAAATAATAGTCGTGGAAGTGTCCATCCTCGAAGAAATATGATGGTAAGACATTTTCGATGGCTTCTGTTGGTGGAAAACGCTTACAAATGTCTTTCAATTTTTTGGATGCGGTTTCTACGTAATTTGATGCATTTGGAGAGTCTGTGTATGCACCTGATAGCATAGATATGATGAATGATGTCTCAAAACTCTGATTTATGTCTGTTGAATTCAGATATTTTTCAATTAATTGGGAATTTAGATCCAAAATGTCTTTGAAGCGGCCACGAGTAAGGAAATATAGTTTAGGTAAGACTTCTATTGCTATTTCCTTGAAATAATCATACTCTTCCCCTTCAAGTTCATTATTAAATTTTAATGACTTGAAATTTCGATATCCAGCCATCGCGTACTTGATGTATTTCGTTTCGTTTGTGAATTCGGCCAATTTAAGGAACTCTAGGAAGAAAGGGGAAATAGTTGTCTTCGCTTGAAGGGAAAAATAAGTTGGAGAGAACTGTATCTTGTCTTTGTTGTAAAATGCATCGATTTCTTTGTAAAAGGATCCTTCTTCGAGGTTGATTGCTGGTAAAATCATCTCTGCAATTTGAATTGCTTTTTCTAGAAGGACTTTGTTGCCACTCATCTCGTATGCTGAAAGTAAACTTCCAATTACTGATATTATCAACTCCGTTGTATCGTATTGTTTCGTATTTATCGCAAAAGATTTAAGAAATTGGTCAATTGATTGTTGAAAGTAAGTTCTGTGATCGGAAACGTATAATGTAGTTAGACTCTCAACTAATGTTAAACTTAAGTAATGTAAATTGCTGCATCTTGAGAAAATCGGATGAAAATAATCGAAACCGAAGCATTTGGACTTATACCAGTCATAGGAGAAGTTAATAGCTTGTGTAATCTTCAGTAATTTCGCAGAATCTTTCGAAATTTTCGGTAATTCATCTGAAAATAACCAAGAAGTTAAAAATGGAGTACTAAATTTGCTTAAATCGAATACATTTGGATCGGAATTGTATATATCGTCAATGTAATCTTTCTCTGTTAAATTTTCTGTCACAACAACAACTTTCTCTGGCATATCACGAAAATATAATGTTGACGAGAATACAATAGCGAATACCAGCAGTATGGGCAGTAATACTATACGACGAAACTTCCATTTTTTCGATTTTTGATTATGGGGAGCGACTTGCATTGAAATTTGTCACTTTTATTCCGATATTTTAGTTGACATAATTGATTTCCTTATGAAACTGATGTGTTCAATGAGGAAACTCGTTTTTGCCAAAAGAAAAAAGGAAATATGAAATCGAATTGAAATTTCCCAAATTTCTTTTTGCCGAGATATCTAAAACATGGGAGAAAATTATTATAAATAGTGTTTAATTAACAAAATTTCTAAAATATAAATTATACATAGCTAGTAACAACACTAAGAACGTCGTTACGTGGTTGGTTTGGACGGATAATCAATTTCTGTCCTGTCTTAAACGTGCTGTAAGTAAACATTGTGACAATAGCGCCGATAAAAGCAGAAAGAACGATATCGTCAACATGAGAAACTCTGTCACATATATCAATTGCCGCAACAGCAATTGGGTAGATAAGAGGGAAGAATTTCAACGTCATTACAAAAGCAGGAGTTGAATGCCAAATATCAAACAAAAGAAGACTGGCGAAGCCACCTGATGCAAATGATTCGGTAACCGTGACTGATGGTAGAGATCTGAATTGCCAGTTTGCTTGCTTCTTCGATAGTTTTGCAAGACAATCTGAATATGCGCCTTGACCACCACAAATTGTGAGTGTATCTGGTCTTGGTCTAGCAATCATGAATGATAATAATGCGGCGACGAATGAAGCAAATGCAATATTGAAAGAATATGCTGATATTAAGTTTACAATTGTATAATCGAAGACTAATGCTGCCCAAATAAGTGTAATAAAGAGTGGGAAAACGAAAAATATAAATGAGTAATGAATTACTGTTGGAATTGTTTGTGTGTGTTGAATTTGTGTTGTATCAAACAATAATCCAGGGACATAATCATCATGTATTGCAATATTTTGGATAATTATTGATGCAGTTATAAATACACCTGTTAATATAAAGTCAAAGACTGAAAATCTATTGAGGCGGCTCCAAAAAATCGTCAGTCCCATTATTATTGTCACTTTTTAGACTGAGTATTTTTTTATTGGACTTTTTGACACGTAAACCAAAAAATGGCAAAAAAAGAAAAACTTTTAAAAATATAAAAAGGTTTATTCATGAAAGTCTTTAAATGTTAAATAACAGACTCATATACCTAATGATATTGATAGGCTAATTGGTTACCTACAAATTTGTAATTAAGAATGATCTTATTCTTTCTGTGTGTTAGAAATTGTTTTTTAAAAAAGTTTGGGGATCTGAGACACGATATTCAGCATTGTTCAGCAGACCGTCGTGTAAACTCTTCACCTCCAGTAAGCGTACATACTTTTTTGAAGTCTTACCTAAAAAATAATGGCTATGTCAAGCCGTTTTTCCCCTTCAATATTTAAGGTTCCAGTAAAAAAAATATTGAAGACAAATCTATCATTTCATATAATGTCAATATATCAACTATACTATTTAGTCCATACATGCTCATAATTATATAATAAACTTAATTTTAAACTCTTCTGTTGCCAATATAACAAGTATTATCAGCAGCCTTTAGTTTGAGACTGCTTTCATTTACGAAGATAAAAGGCTATGACGCCTTAACAAGATAATTTTCAGATCATTATGCAAAAGATATAATTATTGGAAATATTCCAGAAGAAAATAGATAATAAATGAAACATAAATATTGATAGAATGTGAAAAAAACAAAAATAATAATAAAATTTATTCGAAATTATAAAATATTCTTACATATATTTATGCCTGAACCAAGGAGTGCACTGTATGAAGCCAAAGGCAATCAATCCGATGACTTCTGCAGCACTAATATAAATTAAATAATTTACAATTGGAGAAACAGACTTCTTGACTGTCATAATCTGGTCAATGAATTGTATTTCCGATTCTTCAAGCAAAATATCTTTAATTGAAGAAATTTTTGTCCTTGCTTTTGCTAAAGACAAATTTACTGTCTGATTGAATGAATAAAGTAGAGATTGTGTCTCGTTAAGTGAAACCGACATGATTTTGTTTGCTTTGGCAACTGCATCCATAATCTTGAACGTTCTTCGGTGCCAGGAGTCAGTGTATGGCACTAAAGTGTTGGTAATGAAGTCATTGAGTTGTCCATATGTTGCAACTTCGTCAATGACTTCTGCAAATTCTGCTGTAATTTTGAGATAATCTTCAATTGTTTTGTTTGCGGCTTTTAAGTCACCTTTCGTAGTTTCGTATGATTTAAGCTCATTCCTCATTATAAGGAATGAGGGATTGCGTAGTTTTTCTATCTTTTCTGGTTGAACTGTTGAAGATGTTGAAATTGGCATTCCTTGGAATGTCCATGCTTGCTTTCTTCGATTGCTAATTATATCATTTGTATTATATGTTGCATTAAACAATTCTATTCTTGATGTATAATCATCACACATTGCTGTAATGCCAATCCAGCACTTCGATATATCAACAGTAATAGGAGTATCTACTATTAATACTTTTTGGTCTTTTGCGTCTGTATGTGTTACGTTTATAGATTTATTGAAAATTGATAGCGTAACTTTGAAATGTTCGTTATCAAGTGGGATCGATTTCAGACAAGGATCTATGTCTTGCATTACCTTAAATGTTTTAGAGCCGTCAGACTGATAAATATTATAATGTAAAACAGGATTTCCTTCATTATCAGCAAATACAGCACCAACCAATACGATTCCGCTAAATTTATCGGATATTCCATAAAATGAACCATCAGAACTATGCTTTGCTATAATTGGAATCGCAAATCCACCTCCTCCATTTCCTTGGCTAATTTTGAGATCAAAAGTAATTTGCCAATTACCGGAGGGAAGTGGTAAAGCACTCCATGCGGAACCTTTTCTATATTGTATTGGTGGTGCAAGAATAATTGTTCCTTCTTCGATAATAGCAGCGCCACCAATATTCCAATACCCGATTTGATTCCTAGAATTAGGATAGAAGGGTGGTATTAAGTCAGGAGATTGCTCAAATGATTTGATTGAGCTAAAGAATAAAGGTAAAATTTTTATATTGAGATTATCCAATTTAGGGTCTAATACACTTTTCGATCACCCTCAAAATTTTTTAAATTAGAAGATTTTAGACTTGGCCAAATGAACGCAAACAATATTGCTCAACAAAGATATGATCATGCAAGACAGATCATTTACAACACTATATTACCACGTATTTATCAACTCATTTTTGAAACTCCTCAATTTCCATTTTGGTTTACATCAAATTGCTTGTGGGCAATTTGTGTAGCATCCAAAGCAACAGATGGTAAGAAATTCCGAATTCCACTTAGTTTTGTGTTAACTGCATTAATGACATTTGTTCCAACAGAATTATCAGCATTTTTCATTGGAAAAGAGTCACCACTCAAGCAATCACTTTACTCAGTTTATCTTTGCATATTATTATGGGCAATAACTGAGATATATACATCATCACTCCTTCAAAAATTCAAAAAATATCTAGGATTAATAGCAGCACCATTACACACATTTAACATGATGAGAATATTACATTACTATACTGATGAGACACGCAAAATTTCATGGGAATCAGCTTTAGTATGCGGAATTTTATTATCAATCTCTGACATTGCAATTGAAAGAATTTTCAAATTCTTCATTAAAGGAACTGATTCTCCATTCACTCGTGGAACGGCTTTTCTCAGAATCATTTCTGCTTTTGTAATTTTCTTTTTATTGACAGAAGAAACTCCAGCAATGATCGTATTTGGTGTACTCCCATATAAACCAGTTGGTCTTGTCATCGCAGTTCTCTATGCATCAATGGAATTTGCTGTTCTTGCAGATGACATTTTTACACCTAAAGAGAAGACATATTAAAGTTAAATTGCATACTCAAGTTATATACATTTTGGTTACCCAACCTTTTATTATTTCTACCGAATAAATTGTTTCAATTATTAAATAACTTGTTATTTTTGCTGAATGATAGATTACATAAATTTCATAGGGAATTTTGGATGCCTTTGAAAAAAAAAAAAAAAAAAAAAAAAAAAAAAAAAAGGTAGTGGGGCTTCCAGGCACTTCGTGCCTTCTAGCCCTGAGGATGAATGAGTATAATGAAGTTTTTTTTTTTTTTTTGGGTGACCTTCCAGGCACTTCGTGCCTTCTAGCCCACATAAATGAAGTTTTTATTCGGAGGTCTTCCAGGAGCTTTTCACAAATTATATATGTTTTCATGTTTTGTCAAGACTTCTTCGTAAATGTTTTGTCAAGACTTCTTCGTAAATGTTTTGTCAAGACTTCTTCGTAAATGTTTTGTCAAGACTTCATCGTAAATGTTTTGTCATGATTTCTTCGTAAATGTTTTGTCAAGACTTCTTCTTCGTAAATGTTTTGTCAAGACTTCTTCGTAAATGTTTTGTCAAGACTTCTTCGTAAATGTTTTGTCAAACATGAACGTAAATGTTTTGTCAAGACTTCTTCGTAACGAGTGTAAATGAACCAAAAATAATGTTTAGGTGAAGAGGTGAGATTTCACCTGTTTTTTCACCTCTTTTTTCACCCGTTGAATTTTCATGAAATTTACACCAAAAATAATGTTTAGGTGAAGAGGTGAGATTTCACCTGTTTTTTCACCTAATTTTTCACCCTCTTGAATTTTCATGAAATTTACACCAAAAATATATTTTAGGTGAAGAGGTGAGATTTCACCTGTTTTTTCACCTAATTTTTCACCCGTTGAATTTTCATGAAATTTACACCAAAATATACTACTAGGGTCATTTACGAAGAAATCTCAACAAAGTCTTTACGAAGAAATCTCAACAAAACATAGACAAGAAAGTTCATGAGAAATTAGATGAAGAAGTCTTAACAAAGTCTTTACGAAGAAATTCATGAAAATTCAAGAGGTGAGAAATGAGGTGAAAAAAGAGGTGAAATCTCACCTCTTCACCTAAAATATATTTTTGGGTCATTTACGAAGAAATCTCAACAAAGTCTTTACGAAGAAATCTCAACAAAGTCTTTACGAAGAAGTCACAATAAAGTCTTTACGAAGAAATTCATGAAAATTCAACGGGTGAGAAATGAGGTGAGAAAACAGGTGACATCTCACCTCATATGTCCTTACTGAAAAAGTATGTGTTCCATCTGAAGTTCTTATATACGGGTCTTCCAGGAGCTTTTCACAAAATATATATGTTTTCATGTTTTGTCACTTTTCTGTCACTTTTCAGGAAAAAACATTTTTATTATATATATAAAATGAATTTTACAAAACCACCGTTACCCTTCTTTGGAAATAAGAGTAGATGTAAAGATATTCTATTGAGAGAACTTAAGAAACTACCGAATGGTCTAACATTTGTAGATTTGTTCGGTGGAAGTTTCTATATATCCCATTTGTGCCATACAATATTCCCAGACTCAAAGATTATATGCAATGACTTCGACAACTATATGAACCGTCTCAAACATATACCAGACACAAACAAAATATTGAAAGAGTTAAAAGAAAAGATACCTATAGGTAAGATGGAACGTATACCATTAGATAAGAAAAATATTGTCAGAGAGGTTTTGAAAAAAGCAGAGTATATTGACTGGGATAGTATATCTTCTAGACTATTGTATAGTGGTTCTATAAGAGTTCATGACATTGAAACACTTATGTCAAACGTTTTATATCTTAACTATACAAATGTTTTCAAAGAGAACATAGAAAAATATACTGAGGGTATAGAGTTTGTGAGATGTCATTGGACAGAGTTGTATGAAAAATATAAAAACAAGGAAAATGTTTTCTTTATAGTGGACCCGCCGTTCTATAACACATACGATTTTCAATACCAAGTAGACTGGACTTTGAGAGACTCTTTAGAAACTTTAGACGTTTTACATAACCATCCATGCTTTTACTTTACATCCGATAAAAGTGGTTTGGAAAGTGTCATGAGATGGTTAGAGGACATACATGACTATGAGTTTAGATACGACAAGAGAATATGAGAGAGGTCCTATAAACCGGAAAAAGTGTCATAACAAAGAAATTTTATTGGTAAGTAAATGTGGTTTGAAATAGGACTACTTGTTTTAGGTTTTTTCCATTGTGTCATTTACTTATTTGACGTGGCAGAAAGATATAGAGAATATGAAGATGAACCAATGCCTGCAAATGTCCAGTATATGTACTCGTAAGAGATATTTTTATCTAATATTAAATGGACGCACAGAACTTAGCGAATGCACAGCAACCTGGACAACCAAACCCAGAGAATATTCCAAATGAAGTTAGAATACAAACTGCAATGGCAAACTATGGTCAAGTGCCAACAGATGTACAAATGCAAACTGCCATGTCAAATGACGCTGCGTTAGGTTTGCCACCATGGTATGCAAATATGAGATGGAAAGAGTTTTATACAAACCCCGAAGTGGGATATAAACAACTTTATGCAGATGACGCGAACACAGGAGTTGACCCAGAGTATGTTTTCTACCAGAGGAGAAACAGAATGTATGAGCTCCAGTTAAAGAATGCAATGGAACTCAACAGGAAACGTAAGAGACTAGGCGGACATTAGATTTTTACATATAGTAAAATGGGTTTCTTTGGAAGAATAGGAAACTTCTTTCGAAATGTTGGAAGAGGTATATGGAATGGAATAAAATCTGTCGGAAGAGGAATTTGGAACGGTGTCAAAAATATTGGTAAAAGAGTAGGTCAGTTCGTTGGTATTATACCTAAATGAACGAACAAGCTCCTGTTATACAACAGCCTGAACCTGCACCACAGTCTAGTTGGCAACCAAATCCAACACCTCAACCGTATTAAAATTATATTTTTACCGTTCGATAGTAGTTGTATATGAGACTAAGTTCTAAGTAAAACGCGTGGTATAATGGAATTATTCTCTTTCTTCCATCTGTAGTAAACCATACTTGAAAGTCTGAAATACTTCCACTCGGCGGTTCATATAGCTTTGTAGGTTTTTCGTAAAAGTCATTTGCCAAGCATAAAAAAGAGTTTTGTGCGCCAGAAAATGAAGCATGAACTATAATAGCATCTGAGTCGAAAACATTTTCATATGTTCCATTAGGGTTTTCGACTTCATAAAAGTCTGGGTGTACTGGATATGCTGCAGGCTGATTTAACATCCTCAAAAATCTATACCATGCCAAGTTGTTATATTTTGTAGAAATATAAACGTTTTCTCCAAGGTCTTCTATTCTATTGATTTTAACAGTTGCATTTTTCCTGTCATATAAAATATCGAGATGGTACTCTCCTTCGTCAATGTTAAACTGGTTTGCATATTCGATATAGATATCGTTTATTTTTTCTTGAAAAGCTTGAAGAGTTGTTTCTAAGTTTACAAGCAAATTCACTTGTAAAAGTTTTCCCTGTTCAAATTTCTCATACGTACGTTTTTCTTTGTTATAGTATCGAATTTCAAAAGCGACCGTAAATGGGAAACCATGTATGGCTTCTGAAATGAACTTCATTCTACGAAAGCCAATAGCTTTTGTGACGGATGGGTCTCTTAACCATCTTAACGGGTAGTCAAAACGATAGCCTTCATGCTTTACGGTCTCTGTCTCAAACTTTTGACCGACATTCGTAAAAAGTTCATCTAATGGTTTAGTTGTAGCAACTCTTGAATTTTCTTTTTCTATTGAAAGCATATTTTATCTAGAATAAAAATGTCGAAAGAAACAGCGTCTATGAGAGAAATACAACACAACCGACAACTCATTTTGCAAGCTCTAAATAAGAACACAACAAACTTTTCAAACTATTCTAAGATATCTGAGTCATTGAAAGAAGGAAACTTAAAACTGACGATAAACCCAATGACAGACGAGTTTCTGTTTCAAGACAGTAAGAACCATACTGTTTGTATAAATCCAACAAAAAGAACTTTAAACGAGAAACCTATAGATGAACTTCTTTTGAAAGCAGATATTGACAACAAAGCTGACAAAGAGTATGTAGATGCAACAAGAGACTATATTCTCGCATGGACAGATAGAACATACCCACAAAAACATCATACACATAACATCTATGACGTAGATGAACTTCAAGAAATGTTAGATGACAAAGCGGATAAAACATATGTTGACAATAAAATGTCAAGTGAAGTGACAAGAGCTGACAAAGAATATTCTAAAAAGACTCATACACATACCATTGCAAATATTACAAACTTACAAGAAACCTTAAACAAGAAAAGTGACGTTGGACATACACACGATTTCTTCGCAACTGTTGGTATAGAAAATATTGAAGGAACGGTTGAAGAAACTGGGGATGTATTAAATTGGAAACCTCCTAACTTTCCACAAGGTTTAACATCGGATAAAGACATTAGATGTGGAAATGTCTATGTCATGGAGGATGAAAACAAAGTTAAATTCACTGCTCAAGATTTATATGATAAAAAAGCTGACAAAACAGAGCTTCAAACGTTAAAGACAGAAATACTTCAAACAGTATATCCTATAGGTTCTATTTACACGTCAATGAACTCTACCAAACCAGAAGTAGTACTTGGTTTTGGAACTTGGACTCAAATAGTCGACAGGTTTTTGTATTGTGCAAACTCTTCAAAGGAAACAGGTGGAAGTAAAACGATTTCAGGTGCAAATTTACCTGCGCACAGTCACTACATAAATTTAAGTACATCTGAAGCAGGTTTGCATAGTCATAGATTTTGGGATTGGTCAGGAATGACAAAAGGTAAAGGATATGATGTTAAAGAGGACGTTAAGTTTGCTATAAATTGTTACTGGAGTAACACTGAGGTAGGAGGAAGCCATACACATCGCGTTTCAGGGTATACGCAAACAACGGGACAGAGTAAAGACTACAT